TTATTCAAAAGCCGGCGATTCTGCAAAAGCTTTGGAGATATTTAGGGAGATGGAGAAGCATCTAGGTGGTGCAACTGTTTCTGGATACCACAAAATCATTGAGGTCCAGTGTAAAGTCCAGCAAGTGGAGTTTGCGGAGTCTCTCTTGAATGAGTTTGTAGAAAGCGGGAAGAAGCCGCTTCTACCGTCATACATCGAGATAGTCAAAATGTACTTCGATTTGGGTATACATGAGAAAGTGGAGACGGCTTTTGTTGAGTGCTTGGAGAAATGCCAACCTAGCCAGACTATCTATAACATATACTTGGAATCATTAGTTAAGATTGGCAACCTTGAGAAAGCAGGGGATGTTTTCGATGAAATGAAAAACAACGGTACAATCAATGTGAATGCTAGATCCTGCAACACCCTTTTAAAGGGATATCTAGATTCTGAAAATCATGCGAAGGCAAAGAATATATACAATCTGATGAGCTTGAAGAAATATGAAATCGAACCACCGCTTATGGAAAAGCTTGATTACATCTTGAGCTTGGTGAGAAAAGAAGTGAAGAAACCGTTGAGCATGAAGCTAAGCAAAGAACAGCGTGAGGTATTAGTGGGTTTGCTGTTAGGTGGCTTACAAATCGAATCAGACAAAGAGAGGAAGTGCCACAAGATCAAATTTGAATTCAGAGAGAATTGTCAGGCTCATCTAATTCTGAGACAACACATACATGACCAGTTCCGCGAGTGGTTACCTTCTTCGAGTAATTTGCAAGAGGCTATACCGTTCAAATTCTACTCCATTTGCCATTCATACTTTGATTTTTACGCTGTTCAATTCTCGCCAAATGGTCAGCCTGAGATACCAAAACTGATTCATCGGTGGCTCTCGCCACACTCACTCGCTTACTGGTATATGTACAGCGGCATTAGAACATCAACAGGAGACATTATCTTGAGATTAAAGGGAAGTGTAGAAGGTGTTGAGAAGGTAGTGAAAGCTCTGAGAGCAAAATCTATGGAATGCCGGGTTAAAAAGAAAGGAAAAGCTTTCTGGATCGGACTTCAGGGACCAAACTCGGTTTTGTTTTGGAAACTAATAGAGCCTCACGTATTAGAGGACTTGAAAGATCATCTGAGACCTGCTTCTGAATCAATTGACAATGATGGAGAAGAAGAACAAAGCAACAACTACTACACAAGCAGCATCTGATCACAGTGATGATAGTGTCGATCACATATCATATGAAAATGTTGATTGTAACTAGTTTGTGTTTGATAACATCGTTAAGTTTGTGTTCTTTAGGACATATATTGGAAAATACAAAATAGTAGTAACTAAATTGAAACCAAACCAACTAAAGAAAATTCATAATTCGTCTTCTCTGCAATGTGAAAATTCATAATCTATGATATATCTTAACATCCCTAACTTAAATTTTAAAAATTAATAATACAAAATGGATAAACGAAATACATTTAGTATTTATGGTGTAGTGGGGAAAGTGGGCGATAGTGGGGTCAATCAGCTACTATCCATCCACTGTTATGGTATTGCGAGTGTACCCGAAGGGACGAGAGAGCACTAATTAAATTTTAACATAATTAATTGATATCCATTAAATAGAGACAAATTTGTTGGAGGGAGAAAAGTGGGTCCTAGGGTTTCTCGCTCATGCGTCTCTTGTGTGTCGTTTTGATTTCACCTC